GGAGCAACACCGAGGGTTGCGATCCCGTTGCCGGTCCCGGTCCGGTATGGGCGCGACACTGAGGGTTGCGATCCGTTGCCGGTCACGAAAAAAGACAAAAAGGAAAAAAAAAAAAGAATCCCTGGCCACTACTTCAAAGCCCTGTTGGGTAACTTGCCATGTTAAACCATGAGTTGTCTACCCCAACTTAAGTGAACTCAGTCACTAAGACCTGTCAGTTGTGGATACTGAGTGTTTAGACGAGGGGTTAGCAAACTACAACCTGCTGGCCATATCCTGCTTGCTACTGTTTTTGTAAGTAAAGTTTTATTGGAATACAGACACACCCATTCCTTTACTTTTACCCACATACTGCTGCTTCAACAGCAGAGTTGAGTAGTTGCAACAGAGGCAGCATAGCTTGCAAAGCCTAAAATATTTACTATGTAGCCCTTTACAGAGAAAGGTCTCATGGCATCTGGTTTAGATTAGAAGCCTACAGCTGGCAAGAGAACAGTGAGAATGATCTGGACAGTAATACAGAGGCTTCCTGTACTTTCCTTGCTCAAGGCCAGGACCAGGATTGATTTGTGGGTAAAGAATGTTCCCAAACAAAGGCAAGCAGCCTACTATTGAAGCCAAACAGCATAAGGGGACAGTGTTAGCATTAGTAAATTTAATGTTCCTGCTGCAGCCCAGAGTAGTTCCTAGTAGGGTTCTTTATGCCTTTCTTGTTTTACTGATACCCAACACAGGATCGCTAACTTTGATCAGAATCAGGGGTCAGGAAGATATTAAACAATTGAGATGATTAAGGACTTCTACAAAATGCTATAGTAAGGGTTTGAAGAAATCATCACATAGCAGGTGACTTTTTGGTTGATAATAACAATTCATATCTGTGATGTAACTGGCTTATTATAATGAAGGTAGAATGTAAATAGCTTTACACATATATTCACAACAGTGGCCTGTTGAGGCTTTTAAAATAAGACACTACCTTAGTAGCCAGCATTTGTTGCTGGGCTTCAATCTGTTGCTGCTGGCGAGATGCCATTTCCTGAAGTTCAGCAAGAGTCAGATCCATCCTAGGACTATTAATCTACAAATAAAAACACAAACAAATACAATGTAACTTACTATAAAAAGATCTTGGAGATTCCTCTCAAAGGTCTATTTATAAGCTTCATCTGAACCAACCATGACAAAATTATTTAGCCACTTTTCTTTTGCATTAAACAGACCATTAATTTCTACATTAAAACTTACACAGTGACTTATTAAGACGTAAAACATACTAATATACAAACCAACAATGTTTTATTTCAGGTTGTAAATTTAAAATAAAGTTTCAATATTCAGGCACACAAACAAAACAGTTTAGAATTACCTTGTTCTGCAGTTAATTTATACTAAGATCATATTAAACATAGTATTAGGGCATTGGCAGCAAAACACTGCTGAGAGAAAGATGACCAAAATAAACGGGGAGATATATCATGTTCGTAAATTCAAAAGCTCAATCTTGTCAAGATAGCAATTTTTCTCAAACTGATCTATAGATTCAACAGAATCCCAATCAAAATCCCAGCAGGCTTTTGTGAAACCTGGTGAGCTGATTCTAAAATCCACAGAGAATTATACAGCATCTAGAATAGCCAAAACAACCACGAAAAGAGTAAAGATGGAGAACTTGATTACCTGACTTCAAGTCTTATGAAGTTCAGGTAACCAATACAGTGTGGTATCAATGTCAACACAGGTAAGTAGATCAATGAAACACAATAGAGAGTACAAAAACAGAACCACACATATATGCAACTGATTTTAGACAAAGGTGCAAAGGCAACTGAGTGGAAAAAGAAGAGTCTTTTCAACGAATTTTCCTTGTACAACTGAAATACCATATGCAAAAACCAAAATGATTTTTGATTCTAGCACCATATGCAAATGTTAACTCAAAAGGGATCACAGGGCCGGCCCAGTGGCACACTGCTACAGTGCGCCGCTTGGGAGCGCGACGGCGCTCCCGCCGAGGGTTCGGATCCCACATACAGACCA